ATTTTTAGTGGGTTGTAAACAGTTTGGAATGAGCATAAAATGGGACAAAAATCAAAGTGAGCATTTAGAAATGAAAAAGTGTTTGCTACAAAAGGTCAGTCCCTTTACTTGGCAAACTATGTAGAAAAGCCTGGGAAAATGTTGAACACACAAGCAGTAAGGGAATTTTAAAGCCAACAACCTCCCTGTTTCTTTAAACAGACATCGGAACCTATAACTGGATCCTGTCAAACAAACGACAGCAAAAAAACATAACAGCTGCTAAGAAGTAAAGTTGAAAGATAAAGTTTTCTAAGCTAAGAACCTTCTCAGAAGTGGACTAAAGGTCTTTCTTAAATCTTTAAGGAAGGTTATGGATCCCAGGGTGGCTTTTAGGCATTGAATCAAATATGTAATTTTGTGTATCATTCCTGTCAGAGCATCCTGTGCTCCAAGAAAAGCAACAGAAAACAATGTCTGCAATATCCAGTTTAGGATGGAAACGGTACCTGTAATCATCAGCTTTGCTGCCTGCAGTGTCATTTTTCAAGTCATTTAGGCTGATTTGAGAACACTCACTCGGATTTGGGAATGGAGGGAGAAAATGAAGGACATTTCAAAAGAGGGATGAAAGTTAAATTATATTTCCCTGGAGCATTAGTACCGTATTACTTTACAGAACCTGAACTCCACTGGATACCCTCGATAGGTTTAGGATACTGACTGCTCGGGGTGTTCATTTACTCTGTCATTAGGCACACAGATAAATTATCATCCCTGGAAAAGAGTTTAGAATCAGACTGTTTTCACACGATAAAACATCATTATGAGAAGCACTGGATGGCATTTGGTTTAGGTACAATGCACACTGATATTTTTAATTTTTTTTATGTGTTCTACTCATGCCTTTCACATATTTAAAAAAAAAAAAAAAAGCAAAAAACCAGCCAGGACTTTTAAAGGGTCGTGGATAACAAAATAAATAGGCGACTCAAGAAATGACTGGAAATAATATCTGGCCTAGAAACACCAAAAATCTTGCAACGGTCCCCACCCTTGGCAGGAGTGCACAGAATGTGAGTTATAGTACACTGGGAGGATTGTCCCAGGCTTTCCTTGCCGCACCGCTCAGCTCAGTGTCGGAGCTACCTATCAGACACTTTCTGGGGACAATAAAAAGCTTGGAATACAGGCTGAACATGGCAACTCAACAGATAGTTCCAGAAAAGCCTGAGTTACATCCAAGGTAGATGTTGATGGCAAAGTAAAAGACTACACAGAAAAAGTGAGGAACGCACTGTTTCATGAAAAACTTTCCCTCTAAGTCCCTGAGAATGTAGGAAGTGAAAAAATGCTAGAAATCTTTGAGTAGCCAAAGATTTCTTCAATTTGATAATTGCATGGTACAGAATTATTCTCTCATCCTCATCAGGTCATATATAGGAGAGGTTTTTTTCTATTGATATTGCATTAGATACCAAGGGTGCAACGCTCTTTGCCTAGAACTATTGGCTTCAGTGGTACAGGTCTGTATAGCTAAATACTCAGGATAAGAAGCTCATCATAATTTATGAATGAATAAATAACACAGGAAGAATGAAGCAAAAAACTGAGCTTGCTTAAAAAAAAATATCAAAAATTAAATGTGACAATTGCCTTACAAGTTTACAGGAATGGGCACATTTTTATTGACTCTTTTTATTAAACTCCACTATCAGCTCTGCAAGACGGTCCAACCATCCCTAATCCCCATTAAACCATATCGCCAAGTAGATCATCCACCCTATTCTTAAACACGTCCAGGGATGGGGACTCAACCACCTCCCTGGGCAGCCTATTCCAGTGGCTGACAACCCTTTCAGAGAAGAAATACTTCCTAACATCCAACCTGAATCTCCCCTGACTAAGCTTGTACCCATTTCCTCTTGTTCTATCACCCATCACTAATGTAAAGAGCCCTTCCCCTACCTTCCCACCATCTTTTCTCAAGTATTTGTAGGCTGTAATCAGGTCTCCCCTCAGCCTCCTCTTCTCCAGGCTAAACAGCCCCACCTCCCCCAGCCGCTCCTCATGAGTTTTATTTTCCAGCCCCTTGACCAGTTTAGTCGCCCTTCTTTGGACTCGCTCCAGGAGCTCAATATCTCTCTTAAAGCGAGGGGCCCAAAACTGGACACAATATTCCAGGTGCGGCCTCACCAGTGCCGAGTACAGGGGCAGGATCACTTCCCTGCTCCTGCTGGTCACACTATTCTTGATACACGCCAGTATCCCATTGGCCTTTTTGGCCACCTGGGCACACTGCTGGCTCATATCAAGCCGGTAGTCAACCAAGACCCCCAGGTCCTTCTCCGCCAGGCAGCTCTCCAGCCACTAAATAAATAGACAGATAAATATGTATTACGGTGTGACAATCTTTAGACCAGACCTTATGAAGCACCCTGTGCTGAAATGGTGAATAGGCAAACAGTAGCCTAGGGGATAAATGACCAAAATCTGATCTAAGTTGCAGCAAAATAATTTCAGAGTAATTCCTTTGATTTCGATGTAGATATTCATTTTAAACTAGTGTAACTAAACAGGAAATCTTGCCAACAGTTAATGACACTCTCTACATTTTTAATCTGTGGGAGAATATTACTACAGTTGGCTATTGTATGTAACCTCATCTACACAGGAAAATGTACTAATTAATATGGTTTATTCAGATCACTTCTAGACTTTCTGTGCACAGCGATAACATTTTAAAAATCAGAAAAATAAATAGAAAATCATTAGGTGAATACTAATTAAAACCATGAGCTGATAAAAAAGAACACAACCGTTCAGCAAAGTATGAATGTTTTGTAAGTAACGTTTAGGGTTAGTCTCCTAAGATTTTTTTTTTTTCCCCCCTAATAATCCTTTAACTTAAACGAAGCACACGAGTAACGTTTTTGGTACAGTTACAGTATGTAGATGATATATTTTCTAAATAGGAAAAAAAGCTTTTCTACGACAGCCAATATGCCAGCTGTACTGAGTATCTAGGCCATCTTACTAAGACTATGAAAGTAAACATACAGTTTTCATTAAATGTGCCTTTCCCATAATTGGTACATAAGTATTTCCCATGACTCTGCAGTTGAGTATCTTGGCTGGAGGCATATCTGGCCATTAAGAGGAGGGCTTCAGATCTGTTGAGTCTCAGCCATGCCGGGAGACTTGGCACCTCCACATACTGCTTCCTAATACCAACCCCAGTATAAAATGTCATCAGAAGCTTGCATAAACATTGGACTTAGCTTCACATAAATTACTGCAGTCCTGAGATAGTTTATGCCAGAACTTAGTAAAAACAACACTATGAGTAAATAGAATGTGAGTAAATGCAAGCATTTTAATCCAAGAAAATGATAATAGAAAAAAACTGTGTATCACATATAAACTCATAAATACAGTGGTAAAATGAAATTTTTATCTCATGACATATGATTAGCTTTTATTTACATATTAGACTAACTAAAAGGAGTAGACTTCTCTAAAGTCACAGGAAGTTTGAAGGAAACACAAGGGCAATAATGCAGTACTCCAAAGGATGAACTCCTCTGAAGAAACAGTGCTATTTTCATTTTCTTCTGTGAACATTTCTTTGATAATTACACACACAATAAACATCTAATTAGATTTTTTGGATTTTTCTATTACAGTTTAGTGGTGTAGATACCTCTGGCCTCACTTCTGGAGGTCTGGTCAGATACCATACAACATCTATGAAATATCTAGTGCATCTTTTGGAGAACCTGTGCTAAGATCATAACTGAACAGTCAATTAGACATGCTCTGCGTGGCGTGGCATTTATAGAATCTAATCTCTACCTTTCCTTTTCATGATCAGAATTTCTCCTCACAATTCCTCCTCTATTAATAGTCACTTCACACGTTTCTCCCCTTTCTTTGTCTCTTTCTTTATCCAGCCTCCAGCCTTCCTCCAAAAAACCAATGCTACTATCTCCCCCTACCGAACAATCTCCACTTTGTTAGTCTCTGATTTCCTGCCAATCATTCTGGGAATAATAATATCCCAGTGCTCTCTTTGCTGTATAATTAAAGCATGAATTTCCCAGAGTTTGAAACTCCAGGGTAGTTTTATTGCACCTTTCACTATAAAACCAGGTAACAATGATGGAATTAAAATGGCTTTTTCCTTTGTGGTTAACGGTCTAAGTATCTTTTTATTTTTCATTGGTTCTCTTGTTCTGAGACTCCAGTATATGGCAGTGACAATGGGCTCACCCAGCCTTATTCTGAAAATAAATTTTCTATCTTTTGCAAGATATATGTTTCCCCAGATCCCTGGAACAAGTTGTAAACTTGTAACAGATGGTGATGAAGCCTCACATTTTTATACAATACATTTTAAGATTCTGCATCTACCGCATGTACCTTCCAAAGAAAATGACCTTCAATGAGAGAAGATACAATCTGAAGAAAGGAAGGCAGGCAACGGTGTTAAGCACATCTTTTTATACCATGAAAATCCTTCTTATTAAATGAACCAAAACTTTTAATGAGGATGAATACTCATTCCAATATTCTTACAAAATTATGGTGTTTTAAAATAACTGTAAAAATTAGACACCTGCACATATTAAAAAAATATATGTTACATGAATGTTATATGAATAACATTTCTTTTGGTTGAATACAATTCAAGACTTAGGAAAAAGTATTGGCATTACACTCACCAAAGACTTCAGAATGGAAGTTACTGACATTTTATTGATGTTTAGCATTTGCTTACCCAGAGAAAGACTAAAACAACAACATGTCAAACAAAATATAAGGAATAATCAGCATGAATGGATTCTATTAGTGTCTTATCATATAAAGAAAATGAAGATACAGAATGTGTTATAGTTCAGTCTATAACAGTATTATAAACTGAACTGCCTGCCTTCCCTGGCAAGTTGAACAGTTACAAGGTTAAAGTTTTGATTACTAATAGAGAAAAAAAAAAAATCTTAAAATGTTAAGGTACTCACCTCTTTTTTCAACAGCTTTTATACACAGTCTTACAAACTGGGGGACTGTAGATTTCTCGTGCTCACAAACCAAGTGCAAATGAGAGCCAAAAATTTGATCTACATTTGGAAAATAGAGGAAAAAATACATTAAAGCATATTATTAGTAGTGGGATTTTTCTCTCTTCTGAGCTTTCGTATTAATTAAAACTCATCTATCGAAGATGGACAGACAAAGTTGGAAACAAGTCCTAGTGGTTGTCAGCATCTGCAGGACAAAACCTCTCAATACCTGCTGCCCATAGCACTCGAGTACTTCCCCTGGGTTCCAATTTCAACTGCCATTTAGACCTTGACCTTTCTAAGGCTTGGAGGCCGCAGTCTCTGGAGTTTGCTTGGACCTGCCATAAAAAAGTGAAGACCATTCTAGAGATACAGATCCATATCTTGTTGAGTCTAAAATCTTACATGATATTAACCTTGGTCCAACCTTGAAACTCACATTGTTCAGCAGCCGTCTCTTGGGCACAAACAGAGTTTCAGTCTTGCCATAGAGCACCGTAGGGAGGCAACGGTTTAATTGCTTTGCATCATCAGGACTTAGTATATCTCATCTTTACAAAAGGGTTTTCTGTCATCGATTTATCCGTTTTAAAAATAGAATGTACTAGACGTCTTACAACGAGGATTGCATCTTAGACCAAGTTTAAGTTATTTGTGTTGTTTCTTTAATGAATAATTATTTAAGTAGCTAAAGTTACTTTTAAATGTTTACGATTTTAAAGTTTTGAGCTACTTTGAATGTTGATCTTAAAACATATTTGTATAAGCAGGCTAAACTCCTCAGATTACTAATTAACTTCCTCCACCTCATTTCCACTCTGTATGTTTGAGAAATTATGAAAAGAGCAATCAGTAATGGGGATGTTGTCAGCTAGAATCAAAATGAATCAAACAGATGAAAGAAACTACTCGATAGGAGCCAGTTAAATGCTCAAACAATAGGAGTGTACTATCATCATTTATCCAAAGAGACAGTCTCCATAAAACATGTCAACAGAGCACTACATTTTGGAACTTGGTGTAGAGATATTGAAAATTTTTGCCTAGATAGCTGAGGGGTGCTAGCACAAGCTCGGGCTCTGCAGAGCAAACCCAACACGAATGCTCACTTGCAGAACAGCAGGAGCTCCTGACGTTCTCTACAGCTCCCATGGCACTGGATTATTTACTCCATAGTCAGTCCCATCATCTTCCACCATAATCGGTTTGAGTGCTTCTTCCTCCAAGCAGCACACTTTTTTCTCACTGATGAGTAAACCCCTATTTTTTTATTTTCTGCTTTGCAAGGAGCTTTGCTTTCTTATCGTTGATCACTACTGTTTCTTACTGAGCTTAGATTTCAAGAGCAACTCAATTGCTTTTTCTTTCCTCGTACCCTAGAGCAGGGAACAATCAGAGAAACAAGGTGGGGTGCATGGGATGGTTTGGACTTGATATGTATCAGGGAAGTTTATTCCAGCACCTCCCGATGCATACGATCTGCATTCTGGTAGAGTACATCAAAGCCTGAATTTAAGTTAGTCGGAGTTTCGGCTGCAGAAGGGATGGAGGACTGGGTTCACAGAACTACGCTGAAGAAGGTTGTGTGCATGTGTGGCGTTAAGCATTAGCGAACAGTCTGTTACATGTTTTGGGGTTATGTTTCTGACAAAGCACAGTCTGGTTACATTTTCTTCATAAAACATTTATAGCTGCCTTCAGTGGTAATTATATATACAGAGATTTATGATTAAAATGTACTAGCACTTCCTCTTTTGACATCTTAATTGTGTTTTAAAATTTTAGCAAAGACCTGTCAAATTCCTTGCATAATATGGAATGGCCTCCAATGTAAATTATGTTAAAAAGACGTTAAAACGTATCTTATTTGGTGGACAAAGACACTTGCAAACAATTTCAGAAGAAAAACAGGCAAAGAACTGCACTGTGTTTAGAAGGCAATACATGAAGAACTGAAACAAAATTAGTGCATGGGTCTTCAGCAGCTTTTCTTCTCTATTATAACCCCTTTATAACCACCTTCCTGGATTATTTTGCAGTTATTCTTTCAATCTCTAATATGAATGCAGAACACTTGGTATTTCTGAAAGGTATTTCTGAAATTTGGAAAAGGCTGGAAACTGTTTTGCAATTCTCATCTAGTCCATTACTTCTTTCCTGGATGCTGTATCTTCAGCAAAATGTTTAACCTCATTTTGTATACCCTTCAGTATATAGATACAGTCACACGCTGCATCCTGCAGTTAAGCTTTGAAGCATCTCTTCTTTAGGAAACAGGATTTTTGTCTTGAATGGAAGAAGCAGCAAATCTGTTGCTGAGCATCAAAAGACTCTACGGTAAAACAATGACACGCAACTGCTTTAGAAATTCAAGAGTATTTATAAGTACATGATCTCAGGAGTGATCCAAACACTCTGAATTCTGGGAATTCCTGAACCACAAACTCCGTGACTCTCTCTAGTCGATCGATTTTTGCTGGATCTGTTTCTGTACATGAACACGGGAATGGCAGTAGTTACACGGCCATATTTACACTCTTAGAGGTCATAGGGATAGTTGAGGAAAACTCAGTTAAGATTTGTTTGTGCAGTATTTTGAAAACAAGGAATTACAGGATTGGCAAGTTACGAACTTCTGTAAACTAGATTTATGTGCAACTAGGATTAAAATATTATTTTTTTTATTCTTTTATAGGTATGTATATATATTTTAAAACTAGTTTAAGGAGAAACTATCCAGAGTATTTTTTCAAAAAATAAAAAACTGCTCCCAAAGGGATAGAAGAAGCAAAAAACCAACCCTTTCTTTGATTTATTTGTGATAAGGCCCTTCAAAACTTCATTTTTTATGACTTGAAAAAAAAAAGATGTACACAACACTCCTAACCTCCTGTTATGACAGTTTATGTTTCCTATCCAGCTTATTTAACTCAAATGCCTGGGAAATAGACACAATTACCACCTTATGGAATGCTACTTAACTTTAAATGCTCCCCTCTGAATAGAAATCCACTTTATCTTCTCAGAGTTATTCCAGTTTCTCAGGAATTATTTCCTCTATAGGCTCCTGAAATGCTCTTGTTTCATCATTTAAAAATTTAAACTAACAATTGTTCAGAAATATCTTTTATTAGAACAAAGGCAATTCCCATACAGTGGATTCTGTTCACAAGAGCTCATACAAAGGAGCTGCATACTATGCCCATATACAGCTTTAATCATTCACTCTTTCAGCTGTTATCAATTTAAAACCAATGAAACTCCCACACTGAGTCCATTTGAGCAGTCAATTTTAATATCTTGGGGCATCTGTAGTTATTCTGAATTGGCTGCAAAAGCAGAACTAACAAGTTAAGCTCTAACCATAAGTCTACATCAGGCTGGTAAACCATACATCAAACGCAGACAGTTAGTCAATACTGTAGTATGAAAAACCAACAAGCATTTTTAAGAAGAGCAATATATTCATAATATGTTTGGTGGTATGGTTTACATTACACATCCCTTATATCTGCGCATTAACTTTCTATTTAAGACAGGGGGGTGTGTGACAGCTTTGCTCACGGATATAAAATGAGACACCAGAAGAGCAGGGAATGGACATTCACAAGTTGTGTAATATAAAATGATGATTACAGCTGCAAAGAATTGCTTGTTCTGGTGAGCTTCAAGTTTTTCCTGAGCCCGACGGAGCTACTTTTTTTTTTTTGAGTAGCTCTCGCAGGCTGCAGCAAAGCCACTAATTCTGAGCTGCACAAATCTCGTCTATGGGAGACAATACTTCTGGAGAAGAAACAATTAAAACAAAATCACTAAAGCCACATCCTCACTGAGAATGTCATTGTTTAACTGGTTTTGGTGTACATGGATGAGATGTGGCCACACTTGGAAGGAACTCATACTTCAGTGTTTTTTATTAAAAAAACAAGGAAGGGTATGGCTAATGTTTCTTGGGGAGAAGGTCCAATTCCGACACGAGAAAAGAAGGTATAATGGTATAATGCCCAAGCTTTTGGAAAAGTGAATTATATATATGTAATTCAGTGTCTTCCAGGAGCAGATTTAACTCTACTGTGTCTGGATTTGAACCACTAGTTTACCAGAGCTTTGTATCAATATCTACATTGTCTGTTTTCTTTGTATCTATTTGAACGTTGGGAGGGAAAAGGGCGGAGAAAAAGGAAAAGGCAAAACAAGGGAGGTATGTACAGAGAGGGGTACAGAACAATAGTTACCACAGCAGCGAATTTTTTGGAGGGGGAAGGGATGTGTTCTGAAAGGTGACTTCTAGCAGCTCAATCTGTAGAGTCAGACATATTAAGTCAGACATTAAAATGAAGCTGATCCCAGACTGGGCTCCAAATAATGCCACGATGCTTTTACAATAAGTGGGCCAGGCCCTCAGTTGACTGAAGTCAGTGAGGTTGTCAATGGAGCTGCCCTGATTTATGCTAGCTGGGAATCCTGCCAGTCCTTTTAACTTGGAGATTTACTATATATCGTTGATCTGTGGTGGTCATCAATTTAAAAAAAAAATTACATTTGTGAACAGTTACTATTAAGTGGCATATGAGCTACCAGATTTGTTTCACATTCTTAGGAAAAGGGAAAATAGAGTATTGCAGACACTGGTCTCTTAAGAAATGATGGTGTTTTACTGGGGGCAAGAGCTCATTTGAATTCAAAGAGAGTGAGTCTGCTGTACTCCTCAAAACAGGTCTCCCAAAATGAGATATTTTGAAATTATCTGAATTATTTCTGACCATCATGTGAAAGGAAAAAGCCACTTTGTCTAACGGTTGGCAATCCATAGGTTTTGGGAAACAAACTTCCAAAAATCTGTGCAGTGGTTAAAGAAAGAAAGAAATACCCTTGTGACCAACTGTCCCTGCAAGTCAAAAGGAACATCTCCTAACATTCCTTAAATTACTATGGACACCAGATCACTCGCTAAATTCTGGAACAGCCAAGAAGAATTACAGAACACACTAAAGGTAGGTCTTAATCTATTCTTTTGGACTTTTCATGAGTGTTACACTCATTACCTCAAGCTACTCCAAAGTCCATTGAGACATATGAAGCAACAAAGACTTTTTCCTTGTCTGGAAATAAAATAGTTGGTAATCTCTGCGCTGCTATCTGCACAACCACCAACATATGCTGAGTCCTGTTCTATAGGCTATCAAGCCAAATCACAGCTAGTTCCTTTCACTAGCAATTGAGTGGCTTTTATTTTCGTCTTGAAACAGTTGTACCCATTCCAATTTTTATGCTGTTTTGGTTTTTGCCTTAACTTAAGAAATAAATTCGATGACGTTGCTTCAGTGTCTAGCTTCTCAGAAAAAAAAAAAAACCACCCAAAAAAACCTAGATTAATTTCTTGCCAGCTGCATTTTCCTCATTTCCCACAGTGTCGTTTATGTTAAGTTGTTACTCACGCTTTTTTAACATTTACTGAAAGTGTATTTTGTGATAGTCTATTACTAACACAACCACCATAGCTTTAAAATCAGTTTCACAGAAGGTTTGGTGGTGCTTTTTTTTTTTTTTGCGGACTAGAAAGGCTCATAAATCAGGAAGTTAGCAGGCCAATATCAAGTTGAAGGTTGGCAATTCATTTTGGGTAATATTAAATCATGACAAAGCTCAAACATAAAGATCAAAGTTCAATTATAGACTATAAAGTAGTTTTAAAAGAGAAGATTTATATATTATTTTTCTAGCATATTAGTGCAGATTCTGTAAATTCTGAGAATACTTCAGTCCCGAGGAACTGAGGACCCCTGCCCTAGCATATAAATTTGAACCCAGTTATTCTCGAAATAACACTGTTAATAAGGCAGACATGGAACATGCCTCTTATTTACTATTTCTAGGCATGTGTGGATGTATACGAACATAAGTGTGCATGTAGACACACACCTACTACACAGCATCTCGAAAACTACTCAGAATGCTTCTAGACCAAAGAGACTTTGTGCCAGCGTGAGTGAGATGGAATGAGAAGGACTGATGATCTTCATTAGCGCTCTCACTGGAGCATGAAAAACCCCAGTTACCAGCCCACTGCAGTGAATGGAGACAATGTGCAGTTCCCATTCTGGCTTCTTTTATGCCAAGGACTAGAAAGCAAATGGGACAGCGATGACAAAAATGACTTTTTGTCATGTAAAGCATTGGCACATCTTCATTATCAGATCAACATGCAGCTAACATTTACACTTCGATCTGCTACATTCCCTTGTCTGATTGTCATCCTCCTATTTCTTATTCTCCTCGTTTGTTAACTATCTACTTTATTTACTGCACGGATATTGGCTACATCCTCCATAAACAAAGTTTTGCTAAGAGTTAAATGACAATCACATAATTTCTAGATTTTCTGATAACAGTGTTGGCAGAACAAAGTACCCCAGGAGATCAAACTGCTATTTAATTTTGAAGCCTGTATTCCCAAATTTGGTTAATGCGGAGAAACGTGTCGAGTCTTCTGGCCAAGTGTGTACACAGCGGTGACTAACAGAGCACAGAACTGTGTTTAAGTGAACTTACCACCTCAAAACGTATTTACTCATGACTATAATTTACGTGTTAAATTTATTGGAGTTTTGGTTCCAATGTGACATACAATGTAAAAAATCAATATAGATTTGAGAGCTTTATAGTGCCCCTGGCAAATATGAATAGCACTTGATGAAAAGTGAAGGTTTTCACAGCACCTACAGTGCCACTGCATTGGAGTAATTAACACCACACGCTTCACAGATATTTATATCAATTCTTCACGAGCACACAGAACAGCTCTTTGTCAGAAATTTGGTACTGAGATGTCCTGCAAGGCTTTAGACACACTTTTATTATGAGCCCCTATTTTAAGGGATTTACAATTCTGACAGAAATATTTCCCTATGGGATAAAAGTTAGTATGCATGTTCTCAGAGCTGGAGGAATTTTTTTGCTTGTAAAAATTGGTTAACGTTTTTTTTTCCCTTAAGAAAGGAGCAAATAAATAGTTTTGAGAGGTTTCTGCAGCCATTTAAGTCACTTTTAGAAAAATAAATAGATGCATCTTATAATACAAAATTTGGCAAGCTTTTCATTTTTAATCTGGATGGTTGCATTTTCCGATTTAAAAATATTCTAATGTGAGCCTAAAAATTAACATTTAAAAGTGGTCTCTGTATAAGCAGTGCAACTGCATTTTCATAACATTTTAACAGATTAAGGGATAAACTCTGGTGAAGACAATGAAGGAACCTTATCGAATAAGCATTTCACATAGACTTACCGTAGATTGGAATTAAGCTGTGCTAACGAATCCTGCCTCATTTGCATGGCCAAAACCTAATCCTAATGAAACTTCATGGTAGATAACTAACATGTTTTCTTCATGGTAACATTAGTTTGATAACAAAACCGTGCCGGGTACCAATTCTGAATTACAGTGTCAGAAATCATGCTTTTTCGTTATTCATGGAAGAGTATCCCAGGTAGAACCAAGCTACGCTTATGAATCAAGAGCTTAATGCAACTGTAGCCAAAACCAAATGCATCTGGCTTTCCTAGAGAGATATATTAGAGGATGGATTTGAGTTATGCTAATGAATCTGGATTTGTTAGCAGGGATCACATCTGATCCCTATGTAACACCGCAGGAGATTCATCAGCCACACTTTATTAAACTGAAAAAAAACCACCCTTAAATCCAGAAATTAAAAGACTATAAATTACTACTCTATTACTGTAATAACTGAAACAAACTAATATGATGCATTCAAATCCCACCCTCAACCCACAGAGTACTTCAAAGAGGTAAAACTCTCCAACGTCTTGAAGTCAGACGCTACAAATGCTTAAGGACAGATCCTGAAAGTTTGGGGTGTGAGTGTGTGCACACCTTGCACACATATTTTTATGTATAAATGACATTTTTTGAAGTGTCTGTGGCAGTTAGAAGCAGAAGCCCATCGCTCAGGCACATAATGATTTCATATAATGAAGACTTCCTTACAGTAAGCAGCATTGCACTGAACATTTCTGCACGTATGTAAAATGTAAGAACTTAATTCATAAAATCTTCTCCTTTTCTTCAGACATGGGCCCAGCTGGTGTTTAACTGTTGTAGCTGCTTGAGCTTTTGCTGGCTAGGGTCAGTCTCTTGGCTCAGGACAGACAAGTTTAATACACACTAGCAACACCCCTTGCCATTTTTGACACACCACTGGAAAACTCACACTCCAGAGATTGACAGGGGTTGCTGGCAAAATGCCTCTTTCTAGTCAATTTGCATGTGCAGTTGTGGGTTTCACACATAATAATTTGGGATTGCGTACATTTTTAAAGCACTATCCCAGACAATATTTAAAAGCATGGCTTTGCTTGATTCTTAGTGGTCAGAATGCTACTGCCTTCGAGTTACTACCAGCTTCTCAGCAAAACTCTTACTCCTTGGACAAACTAACAAACACATTTTATCAAAGAAACTGTTTTTTAAGGATATGTGAAAGTGATGGCTGACCAACTTAGCAAGAGATTGAAGTAGGAAAAAGTTACAGATTCAAAGCATTTATTATTCACTCACATGTATTTTAAATTGTTAAAAATGTATTCTGTTGGTGAGTTAGAAAAATAATGAAAGAAGACAGCAGAAACTATTCCAGTCTACTCAAGAAAAGAAATTAGCACAGCATCTGAAGTTCCTATTTAGTATTCTAAACTATAAAACTATATCAATCTCTTTTCTTAAAAAGAAATGGAGTTGTGCAGCACATTGATTTGCAATGTGCGTGGTGAGTGCCTGTGTTACATGGAGGGGCTTCTACCACACACACCCCAAAGCAGAAAAATTGAAGCAGCAGTCAGATAGCACAGAGACAGATGTAACCATACGTTGATCTGTTTTCTTTACAGTTCAGCAGTGTAAGTTTTATGAGATGAAGCAACAAAACCGTATCTAAGGAGTATTTGTCCAATACATTTATTCGTTTAACTTACTCCAAAAAAGTACATAAGACCAAACACACCTTTAATAAGTCCCTTTTCTTGCAACGTTTTCAAGGAGGGTCTCCGGGAGATGAACTTCTTTAATCTGCTTTTAACTCGGTTTCTGTCATTTGTGTCAGAGGCACTGTAGTTTAGTCTGAAAACTAAAGGAAATCAAAAGAAAAAGCTTCAGTGAAATGATATTTTTAAACTAGTAGTAGTTTGCTCACACAGCCTTCGAAAACAATAGCCATAGCCACCCTAGTAAAATCCTGCGGTAGGTCAGCAGTGTAGCTGGTTGGATAGTACAAAACATCTGATTAATATTTTTGTGAATAAACACGATGAGTTCACTCTGCTGGTTATTCACAGAGTTGTATTATTTATTGCCTATAAGTATTTGGATGGCGACCAGTTTACTCATGAAATGTTCAACGAATCCCATAAGTTTCACATGGATGATTTTTCAACTAAAACTCTGGACTCAAAGTGTGCTATGCGCTATTAGCTAGATACTACTTGTTACAAGAAAGGATGGATGGTTACACCACTAGTGAAGGACTGAATTCTCTTGCCAAGATGGATTAAGCGTTATATATATATATATTTAATGCAGTTATAGAAAACATGGCTATATGCCATGAAATGTGTGCAAGATGCATTAATTTATGGAAAGAAAAGTATTCCTGTCCTAATGATTATTCTATTTAGGCATTTACCAAACTGAGAAACATTTTAAGCTCAATTTATTCCTGCTCTATGTTAAAAAGACATAGAACCCAGCTGCAGAAAATCCCCTGGAGGAAGCTACAAAGGCATAAATTTGACTTTTTCTCTGCTGAGGTGCTTATAGGGCACCATCGTAGCTATCAAAATAGGCAGTTTTAGTAGAAAGGACAAACTCGACACCCAGTGCTGCATGTTCCAGAAGCAGCACTGACGTCATGGGAAGACCTTCTCCAAAAGTTTCCCTGAACGAGAAGATTTTTAAAGTTTTCTAACAAATCACCTGTGCCTCACCACCCTTGAATAAGCTTTATCCCGTGTCCTGGGTTCTCTCACTCTGCCCGTTCCCTCAAATGCTGGGTAGGAGAATGAGGCAGCCGGAGCTGTACAGCCTTCCCTGGCAAGGACCTCCAGCTGCAAGAGGGGTGGCTTCTGCTTTCTGAGAAAAGAATAGCTTTCCATCTTCTCTTGAAAATCAATATATAAATACATCCACCGAAACACAGTATTCTCCACAAGCTGAACTTGCAGGAGTTGGTCTATCGTCCATTCGACAGAATTTCTAAAGAGTACCCTGGATAGTCTAGCTGTGCTTACGGAGATGCTCCCTAATCTCCCCATCCAGATCAAATCTCCCCTACAAGGCTTTGGTCTTCATACAGAGTATCCAAGGGAAGAGAGAGAGTAAAAAGAAAATTAGGGCCAATATTATTGGGCTATTTTGTAGCCAGAAGTTTTGCATAAATTATAAACAGAACCAGAATATTTAAAGGTGCACAATTATAAAATAATGTTGAGCTAAAATAACTGGTTAAGCAACAGTAACAAGCCTGGAATATTGTGGTTTACATTACAAATCTGATTTTAACAGCCAAACTTATAAAATGGTTTACGCTTTGCTGTTGTCTAGGGAGAAAAACTTGCCAAATTGTTCATTTTAAGTAAATAGAACATAGCCAATTAAGGAAAGCAATATTTAAACACATGCCTGCAATGATCAGAGCATAGTTTGCTTCTGATTTCACTACTGATTTTCAGAGAAGAGCGCTCCATTTTCCCACAGCACTAAAATGACCCCACACATACTTCCACAAACTAGTAATCACACAGGACAAATAAAAGGACGCTTTACTGGAAAATGCACAGCTTGGTACAATAATCCATCACTTATGAAAAATAGAATTCACATTTTTTAATGGTAGCATTCTTGGAGTGATGTATCATAGAATATAAAGATTAGCATTCAATTGATGATTGGTGCTTTTTTAACATTATAGCGGAGGACTTTTTGTTAGAAATTGAGCAATCTTTGGCAGGGACAAGCTAAAATTCCAAGTCACTTGGCTGTGCTATAAAAAGAACAACAAATGGATGTTTCTAATTCTGCGTCTTAATGGTACTTTGAAACAGTGAAGTGAATTGTATTTAGTTTGGGGACTCTCTTGCTGCTTAGGGCTGTTCTGTCCGTAGCGATTCATATTTAGGTTTGCTTTTTCCTGACTTACAAGTGAAGTTTCCCCGGTGTAAATGATGCAGGAGAGAAAACATCTCTTAAGCCACTTAAGATGCCTGCCACATTTCCCATTCTGCGGAACTCTGAAGCATTTTATGTCCACTTGAACTACATGCTTAGCTCTGAGTGTACACCAGATTTGTTCAGATACTCTGAAGTGAACGTGGTCATACTGTGAATGGTAGGATAGGGGATCTAGGACCTGACAGCCGGGTAAAGATCCCTCTTTTTAGAAAGATTCATTAGCCAAGCTGGATGCTTTCTACCTGAAACAGCAATTATGGTGTTAAAACTACATCTAGAGGTAGGAATAATTATTGTCATGGATACTTTTGTATGTTCTATGACGAACTGTATAGCGCACAGTTAAAAACAGCAGCAAAGCTAATTTTGGTGAATTTCTGTTTTTCCTCTGTTAAACATGTGTGAGTCACCAGAGGGAAACTCCAAGCCTCCCAGAAATTCAAGGGTTTAGATAACATGTTCCAAAACTAAGTTTAGTCAGAAATATTCCTGTTGAGATCTCATTTAGAAATACTCCTTGTCTTGCCAAACCATTCTTCTCGCGATATCCCCACATTAAAATGAGTTTACTGTTATATTTGGAAATACAAAGCGGACCAAATGTTACTTCCAAGAGAAAAAACAAAACAAAATAAAAGGAAAAACAAAATGTAGTTATAAAACTCAAAACCCACACTAAATATTTTTTGGAGTACCTTCCTTTTTAAATTTCAGGTTCTGGATTTGGCCAGAAGAATCCTCCATGAAAGACAGCTGGCAAACGTCAAATAACATAAAAAGTGGAAAGCATTTCCATACAGAAGTAAAATAGGATACTTAAAGATCTAAGTATAAAACAATAGGAAACAAAATCTACTGCTTGTTCTACTGTATGTTCCCTGACACAAACTGCATAGGTGTACTATTTGATTCATTATATTGAATAAACTCACATCCCCGATTTCCGAAGTTACTCACACTGATATAATCCACATAAATGCTTCAAAACCAACACAGAACAGAAAGATAATCCCCCTGCCTTTGCACAGGCTCTTCGATTAAGTATTTCTTATATCGCACGGAGAGCTTCTGAGACAGATGATGGAAGCACGTGCTTGCTTGTGTTAGGTGAGGGCATTTTGCAGTACATGTAGAGCCCAATACTATGCTAAATTTCTTCTGCTAGTGCAAGTGAGTGCAAGGACACTTCAATCCAACAACAAAAACGTAACTTGAATACTGGCTGAATTTCACGTTTGGCTGGAAATAAAGTTGGACCTTGGAGATAGAAAAGCATTTTTGATGACTTTGGTCACTTTATTGGGTCTCTATTTATTCTACAGGTGGGAAAGGTATGAATGCACAAATGAAAAGGATAGCCAGATCTTTTCCTCAGGCAATTTACTCTAGAATTAAGCTATATTAAATCACAACAGCGTATGGCATTGGGGAAGTGTAATACAGATTGGCTTCAGAAGAAAATAATATAAACACATCATTAAGCATAAAACAAAGAACACCTCTTTGGCCCTTAATGTTGGATAGCACTGTAATGCCTCAGCTGAATTAGGAAGGATAACTATAGACTAAATTCTCTTCCAAAAATTGCACCAAGGAAAAACTGACCTGTCGTTTTGGGGGCCTGTATAAATCCTCTGAATAGTTATTCCATGACACAACCCTGTCTTTAATATTTCTAATGACGTACAAATAACAGGAGTATCATGCAAACTCACAAAATAAAGTCTGTACAAGAGCTTTTACACAAAAAGACAAGTGGAAGGAAAGAATTAATGCATCACTTCCAAATCACACAGTTCTGTAGAAATAGTACCATCAGAGTGAATGGAAGTTTTGAGATTAAGAATTGCTTGCTATAATTTAACACACTGAATTGTATATATGATGCAATCACAATAAACATCACTTAAGCAGGATTAAGCAGTGGCTAATATATTTGCAAGGTGAAGTTACAAAAGTCTTTCTCCAGGATTTTGGCATGGCCACAACTAAAAGAGCCAGGCAAGGCTCAAACCTTTTCAAGGCAAGGATCAAAATTTTTACTGTGATTACTTTCAGTGAGTGAGTGATTACTTTCTGTGAATTTAGTAGAGAAACTAAAACACGTCATGTATCTAGACAATATCTTTCTAGCAGACTGTTTTTCGTGGGTGTGATGTTCTGGGCAGAGCCTGAATGATTCAGGAAGTAAAATGTTTTAATATGTTCTAAACAGCCCCGTATTTTATTGGCAAGATTTTGTAACTCCATATAAAATGATCTTACATTCCTTCCAACGACTTTTATTTCACTCTTAATTTACAAAACATTTATACATAATCCCGAGGGTTTACCTATGATTAATTCCTGCCAGGTACAGTATATCTGAACACTTCTAACGTGCTGAAAGCATTGGTTTTTGAAGAACTATCCATTAATGGCTTTCTGAACTGTGACAATGGATATTGACAGTGCTTGTCAGACTAAAGCACTATTGATTGTCTCACATCATGTGTATAGCAAAACCAATTTCTTCCAAGTACCTCTTCCTAACTGAAATACATTATTATGGTGCCTATCTATTTATTATAACACCCAAAATTATCGTATGCAATTCATTTGGATGGAAAAGGCTCATACAGAATGAAAAGCAGCAATGGGAGTGGATAATGCATGAAGACATTCAAATAGCTTTATGCTAGTACCTTCTCTTCCATTAGCCTTGTTCTGCAGGAAAAAGCCCACAAATAGTCTGGACCACACAATTATTTTTTTTTTAAATACTCCTGAGGACCTCAAAATTTCAGGAAGTTCTCAGAAATGCAGATGACTTGTAGTATAACGATAACAGTAATAAATTGGAATTTAATAATTCTTTTCCCAAAGAATACTAAGAGTGACAAGCCTGACCATACAAAACAC